GACCTTTGAAATCCTTTATATATTTTAATGTTATGAATTTTATATAGAACAACTTACGTATGCTTTATAATTATATTGTCAATTAATCAGAGATATGATTAATTAATTAACATTAAATTTCATAACTAACCCAGAGAGGTAGATTCCTCCATGGATCCTACAATGAGGACCCTGATTATGATAGTTCTGGGAGGTAGAACAAAAAGAAATCTGTTTTAGCTTTGACCACAGAGCTACTAAGGCCCTTCATAATCTGATCTCACTGTATTCATCCAACCTGTTTTCCATTTGTTTGCTTTTTTTAACTTGAAGTAACATTGCATGACAACAGTGTTTCAGGTGTTCATTCCTGAGACACAATCTCTTTCCTTTGACATGTGTCCCTTTAGTGCTCATCAGGCAACTCCACAGTCACTACTTGATTCTCTGCTTGCCGGTGCGGTGTAAGGATTATGTTCACAGTCTGAGATGTGGTCAGGACAGGATCCCACCTTGGTTCGCCCTGATTCAGAACCTGAAATTAACTGCAGACCTTGGGCAGATTATCTACCTTCTCTCCGCTTCTGTTTCTTTACCCTTCACCCCCAGCCCCCTCTCCTTGCCCCCCCGCAAGTAGTAAAGAACAGTCCTCCTAGGAGGGTTTTGGGGGTGCTGAGTCAGTCACCTTAAATACTGATGCTCCTTTGGAAAAGATTTAGAAGAACTAAGTGTCTTCTCCCATCACTGGAAATGACACAATCAGAGGATCCACTTGATCTCCTGTTGGTTTCCAGATTTCTTGTCTGCTAAACTGGAAAAAGATTGGTCCAAGTCAAGCCCCGGGGGCAGGCTGTTCAGTTTGAGCCAGCAGGAGACAGTTCAGAGCCCTGGCAAGCACTGAGCACTGTGTTCTGACCCAAGCCCTGGCCTAGAATGGTTGCTTCCCAGGAGACAACCACTCAACTCCAACCTGCTGAGGGCTTGTCTGTGGCTTAGCTTTCCAGTCCTCTGGTGTCCATTTTCCTTCTAATATCTACTCCATTTACCCTGCAATCAGAGTTCTCATGCCAATGGTTTTTGTATGCAACTAGCATTCTGGTTTTTAATCTTTTGGATTTCTTTAAGAATCTGTTTAAAGTTATCAAAAATATATATGTATGTGTTATAGATAATGTATATAAATGCATACACATTATATTTCTAGCAGGCCCACTGACAATACTGGAGTCTTTTTGGATTCCTGCTTGGGAAGCCCCGCCCTAAAGTAAATACCTGATAGCAATCTAATGCATGATCTTTCCTTGGAGAGCCCGTCATTCATTCACTGTATCATCAAAACCAGAATGAACGTGGTTACTACCTGAGAGCCTAATGTGCCAGGCACTGTGTGTGTAATATCTTGGACCCCTACCAAAACCCTGAAATGTAAATATCATCTCCATTTTGCAGATATAGGAATTCAGCCTCAGAATGCATTCTTGCCCAGTCACAAATACATTGTGTATCTTTGCAGAAGTTAATATTCAGTGAGTCTGCTACCAATTCTGGACTTCTGCAGCTAAACCACAGTGTCTCTGGTAATATCCAGTTTCCTATTTTCTGCTCATAACAAGCTAAACTTGAAATACCAGGAAATGAAAGCGTGAAGTTAAAAGCCCAGGCTTTTATTATTTTTAAAATTTAAACACAATTTCCTTGAACCAACGTAAAATCTTTGCTAAGGGGAAGTGCGTATTGCCTTTAAAAGTGCACTTTGCCCTCAAGAGGCGTGGCCTGTAGGTTTTCTCAAATGGGTCTTAGGTGTATTAGCTAACCACAAGCCAACCGTCAGTCATTACGCTGCACTTTGAGGACAGCTATGATTGGTAGATTATGAGAGCAACATTTGAATTTAAAGAAAGAACCAAACCACCAAGGGTCATTACTTCTGCAAAGATAAAGTTTTGTTGTTAGAGAAAACCCGGACTGGAGTGTGAGATTAGGAAAGGAAGCCTTGCTTTAGGGTAAAACCATTATCTCAGTAACTTGGTGTTACACCCGTAACCTTCTCTTTAAGAAATCAGCCCCTTCTTTGGAAAAATAAAATCTTAAAAAAAGAAACCAACTATTTTAAGTAACAGTCACTGAAAAGATGTTACGAGAGTGCTTTGTGAACTGCACAGGATACAAAAAGGCAAAAAATACAAATATTTATGATTCAGGGTTCAAATACAATTAACCTCTAAAGAGAAAGCAGGAATTGCCGGTCTTGAGCTGTCAGAGCAGAGTGCAAGCAGCCAAGTTCCTGACCTGCCCCTCGGAGAGATGTGGCTAGTGTTTTCTCTCCTCCCCACTAAGTGAATAGTGTCCTTAATACTTGACTTCAGAAAAGGCATATATAATGAAACCTATAAAAGAAAAATGTGGGCCAGGTAACTTTATAGAAAAGAAGCTATGTATAGATTGAAAAACTGCATTAAAATACATTTACTATACTTCATTCTGTGTCTGGCATGCACCTGTTCTAGAGTTCAATTATCTTTTCCTCTGCAGTAACTTACTAAAGAAGTTTTATTTAATAGGTAAGGGTGAAAATGACATTGTCTCAAATTTTATACCATCTCTGGCCCACTTTTTCCTTCTATATTCATGGAGTAAAATAGAACTCAGAGTAATCCAAAACAGCAATGTAGAATTTTCAGGGTTTTTTTGTTGAAACTCACTTTATTAAAAAAAAAAAAGTCATGAACAATAAATTACAATAATTTCCCCCTTTTATAAATTCTTCATAAAATATATTTGACAATTTTAAAAGAAAATTTCAAAAGTTGCTTTCAATTTTGAAGTGCTGATGACTTATTTTCTGACCATTTGTCATGCTGGTGAGTTATTTTGTAGCTGCTACAATAGTTTGATTGATAAACATTTTACAATTAAAAACAACAACAAAGAAAAAACAGACCAGCAGAAAGAACTATTCAGTGTGCTATTTATCTGACACTTAACACTTACTTCATCGTAATGATAAAGTATCCCTTAGCACCAAAAATCTACAAGAATCCCAACTTTCTAAGTGACAACTAGTGCAAAATAACGTTCTAGGAACTAACTGTACAACCCCCTATTTTAACCGGCCACAGCTGCCTATAAGCTTATTTGAAATATTTGGTCTTTTTTCAATTAAGACAAATTTCATAAACACTATAAACCATGGCAAGAGACCCTATGAGGAACAATTGTTTATTGAGTACCTATTATGGGCAAGGCACCACGCACACATTCTTATTTTCATTTTTCCTCTAGCAAGGATTCAGGAATTTCCAAGTGTCACCAATCTTATGTTATTTCTCATACTTGACTGGAAAAAGCCTATAGCTATATGCCTTTTTTTTTTTTTTCCTTAACAGACTTTTAGTGCTGAGCACACATTAGGTACTTAATAAATACCCTCTCACTGAAGAACAATAATGACAAAGATTTACTATCATTTTGCTTGGTATCATAGACTATTTGAAAATACAAGGACTTTGAGAAAATTCCAGAAGAAACAGCTTCATCACGTTCTCTCACGTCCTGCAAGAATTCTACCTCACAGGTAAAATCTTTCAAAATAAAGAATTACTAGCTATTGTAAAGGAGGCAGGGCCAAAAACGAGGAAACCATGGCACTAAGCACATGGACATTTGAAAGCCAGGTGAAGCGCTGGCATATTCCATTACCTGAATCATCACACACCTCTGAGGTGCCATAGCATTATGAGACATTATGATGCTTTTCTACTTCCAGTAATGCAATTTTTTAACCTGCTCTGTGTAGAACCAATTTGGTGATATGGATGGTCAATTACCAAGAGTTTCTGTGTATTTCCACCTCTATTTTCAAAATAATTCTTATATAAACTTGAAAGTGATGGTAAAAGTATGATTTTTTTTTTCAATTTAAGAGGATTTATCTCAACAAACCTTTCAGTACAAATTTTAAACTTCCAGACCAAGTAATGCATAGTACAAAAATTACACATATTCCAATTTTTGTGCTTTTTTTTTTAGTCCCCCTGAACACATTTTAAATAAAGACAAAATTATGTTAGTGTTCCGAAAGTTGTGGAAGTTCAAGAAAACTGGGGAGACTATGCAAACTATCAATGATTTCAATATTCTATCTTTTTGGCCAATGATTCTAGTGCTTTATAAAGACAAACCTAGATACAATGGTCTTAAGTCTATCAAACCTTAAAGGCTAATGTTTGTTTCTTTCTTTTCTTAGATTTTAACTATGCATATACAGGAAAATAAGCTGGAGAAATCATATAGAGCTAAAATTAAACTAACTTCAAGAAGAATAATGGTCTACTGGTTTTTAACTAGACCTTACCAAGTGATTGTATAAAATGGATAATTTTTTGTTTGAAAGGTAGTTTTATCCACTTGTTAAACTGTATAGGTATCACCTCCTATGTTAGAAAACAAGGTGATCCACACTTATGCAACCATATCACTACCATTACTATGTCAAATAAGACAAAATAACACTAGTGCCAAATGAAAGGAATTCCAGTGGTTAAACAAGAGATCCAATGTAAGGGTAGAGCTCTTTTGGCCTTTTCAACTTTATGCTGAGGTTTTAAGTCTTGAAATCAGAAATTAATATATCAAGTACTGTAGTTCATATATAAAACAGAAGGATCCTGTGTTCAAATTTATATCAGATTGCAGGTGTGCAAATGCGGACATGCCCTAAAGCTGTGGCTTGATTGGCTAAGGAATGCTTGCTTACCTAAAGAAGGTATGGCTGATTCACCAGTGTCCTTGCCAACATGACTGTGCAACTATTCCAGCTGCTACAGCTATCGGGCACTGGAGAGCTCAAACAGACTTCAGCAGCTTTGGCTCTTTCAATTTCATTTATGTTTAATCAGATAATTTTAGACCCTCCAAAATGATGTTGTTGTTGTTGTTGTTTTTTGTATAAAAAAAAACCAAATCTGTATTACAAAAATAAAAAACTTAGTATGAGTTCATTAGCAGGAGGGACAGGGTAGGAAGATGAAGGAAGGTTCTTTTATTTTTCATTACTGATTTCACCAGAAAAACCTCAAAAACCCAAACCTACATCAAATAATTTAAACAGAAGTGGCATTTTCTTCATATGGAATGCAAAATGCACACATTCACATACTTACATATACATAAATATATACATATATGTTTCCTTTACAAAGCTTTAAGGTTGCATTACCAGCATGCAAACCTCTTCTTCCATGGAAGTTCCTAATACTGACAAGGAATGTCTAAAATACTTAGAGACTTATTTCCAGAAAACTGGACTCTCTTGGCTCTTAGAGAATTTTCTCGCCAAACTTCTACCAATGATCATTCAAAAAAAAAAAATGTACACCCACATTGGTAATACACATGTAAAACATACTAACAAAAACAGTCAACTTGGACTTAGGAATAACAAGGAAAAAAACACCCCACGATAGACTCTAAACCCTTATAAGGTGTTTAGCCTTTTATATTCTTTTTCAGCCACATTATGTTGCATCACTGTTAAAACAGAAGCAGCATCTCATCCAAGGTATTTGCAAATAATATGTGTCACGTTTCCCAGCTGCTATCTTTAAATGCAATTTGTACTAATCTGAGTTCTAGTTCAAAAGCATCTGGACGATCCTGAGGGTTTGCAGCCAGCATTTCCTTAATCAGTTGTTTCATTCGCCCATTCATAGACTTTTTCTTCACAGGAATGAGAAGTTCCATCTTGGGATTTTCCAGAAGCGCCTCCCCAACAGGCACGATCTCCGTTCCTTGTTTAACATAACTCCCCAAGAGTTCCTTCTTTGTCTCTGTGTCTATGAATGTTATCCTTTCCAGCATTGCCCAGATGATAATCCCCAGAGCAAAGATGTCAGCTTTCGCTGTGTAATGTCCCTCCCACACTTCAGGAGCCATATAGAAATCTGTCCCACATGCTGTGGAAAGGAAACACTTGTTTACACTGACAGGTTCTTCTGGGTTTTGACCAGAGGCAGAGCAAACTTTACTTAGACCAAAATCGGCCACTTTTAGTGTGGGTTCCAAGTCACTAGTATCCAGCCTGCTTTGAGAAATCAGGATATTATCAGGCTTCAGATCGCGATGGATGATCTGGTTTTTATGCAAGAATGCCAGGGCACTGCTCAGCTGAAGCATAAAGCTGGTATTAGTCTTACGGTTAGGTTTCCTGGACAACAGATACTCATTCATATCTCCTCCGTCACAAAAATCCATCACAAACCACAAGTAATAGGCGCTTCTGGGATCAAAGGCAATTTCTCCTTTCAATGAAGTTTCTACAAGCTAGAGGAAAGAAAAAAAAAAAGGATTATAATCCCTGCACAGTTTATACAATTTTGTTATAGAAAGATCAACTGGTTAAAGTTAATTTTCAATTTTAAGTGGAAATTGGATGACCATTTTGGTCAGTGCCTTCATATGCATTTTATTTTAAATTTCAGTACTTCAAACTGTCACCTTATCCCTAATTAATATAGATCAGATTTCTAAGTCAAGTGATGACAATATTTATTTAAAGATAGCTTTATTTTGAAAAGTATCCAACTGGCTATACATTTCCTGTATGTGTCAACAGAGCTGAGCTCTACCCACCCAGTTAGGAACTTCATGAAAAGACCAGTTTTGGCATCTAGACCCGAGAGCATCAACCGGGGTATGAACATCAGGAAATTCATCCAATGAAACAGCCCAAAATAAACTTGCTCACTACATATACATTATCAGCATAATCTGTGAAATCCACAGAAAACTGATCAAAGAACTAGTTGTTACAGAAATAAATGCTCCTATAGTCACTAAGAATAGTGACACCATAAACTTCATAAACTTCTATAGGCAGGACACAAACAGGCTATCTCTATCAATGGATGGCTTCTAAAAACCAATGTATAAAAATTAAATTTGCATTTGTGGATTTCTTTGATACAAGCTGAAAACCTAAACTAAATCACTGCTTTATTTGTCATCATTATCTAATAATAACTTTACTACTTGAAAGTGTATTAATTACTTCACTGAACATGAGCTACAAGTTTAAAATACAGCGTAGTGCTTGAAATCATGTTATAAGGAGTCTTTTTCAGAGCCATGGATTGAACAAGCAACTCATGAGGGAAACAACAGTTGTTGCAGAGTGTGTGAACTGTTCATTTTACACTTAAATCCATTGATACTTCCTCTTGTTATTTTGGTTGGCAAAAGCAAAGAAACCTTTCCTAGTCATCTCTCTAGATGACAAAGAGTAGTAATTCAGTAGTCTGCAAATGTCTTTTTTTGCATACATTTTTTCTTATTGCATGTTGGCCATTATGACAGAGAACGTGAAAGACTAGAAAGGTACAGCTCACACAATTATTTATCAGGTATATGATGACTTGTGTTGAGACTAAAACCAGCAGCATCTCTCTTACTTCATTTCCTCTCTCTGTCCTTACACTCAAAACCAAACTTTCTAAATGTCTTTGAGCAATGCAGATCCCAGCATTCAAAGACTGGTTTACAGTAAAATCAGATAGTAAATATTTCATAAGCCACATAAGATCTCTATACCATATTCATCTTGCCATTCTTTTTTTTCTAGCAACTGTTTACAAGTGTTTAAACTGTCTTTAGCATTTGGGCCAAATAAAAAGAGGACCCTGGGTTGAGAGCTGTAGAAATACAGAGCCTAGACTGCTTATGTTTGTGTGTGGTGGGTGTTACTCATAGCTTCTCTTGCTTAAAGTCCTTCAATAGCTTCCCTGTTCTCTTTGGGATATAATCTAGCTCTTTAACGTGGGCTGTGGCTCTGACTAGGCTGATCTTTCTAACTTCAAGTAACTCTCCCTGCATGCTATAATCTTATTATCATATTTCAATTCTTAGGATGCTTTATGCTTCTTTTTTTTTAATGTACAATTCTTTTTGCTTGGGAAATTTTCTTACTTTCTTGTCTAACTTCTCTTCACTCTACAAGTTTCAGTTTAAACATTCATAATTCCTGAGTCCCAGGATTATGTCTGGTTCCCTATTCCATGGTCCTATACCATCATGTGCCTCTCATTCATGACACTCATCACAGTATATAGACTAATCACAAGTTCTTATGTATGAGATTATGTCTTTAATGATTTGTTTTATATTTTCATTAAATTGAGGATTTTTTTTATTTTTTATTTTATAACAGTTTATTTTTACATCATTTTGTACATTTTTTTTTTCCATCTCAATTGTAATCCCCGTGGGTTTCCCATCACCATGTCACCCGTGTGCCATCACCATAGTCCCGTGCACTTCCCCCCCCCCCTGGTTTTTGATCCCAAATTGAGGATTTTGCTATAAGAATTTAATTACTTCAACTGACAGCAAGGAAGATGTCTGGGCAAACATGAACACATACTAAAATTTGTGCAGAGAACTGGATAAGACCATGCATAAGGGACTCTGTAGTCACCCTAGTTATTGGTCTTTATCAAATGTAGATGTCAAAAATGTATTAATGCTAAAGGTGTTGAATATCTAGTTAGCTAAATATCTAGTTAATTAATTAAACATGTTGAATACATAGTTAATGATTTAAAGAAAACTTCAAGTTAAAAAGCTACCTATTACTAGATATTTCTTATGTGTCAAATATTTTATCTCTAATTTTGATAACTTCTATTAAAGGTAGAAATTATTATTGCTATTTTACATATGAAGAAATAGATGCTGAGGAAGTTGGATTATTTATCCAAGCTCATACTAGCAAAAAGTGCCACAAGTCAAACACATGTCTATTAGGCTTTAAAAGATTAAAGCAATTACTCAACAAAAAAGGATTTGAGTTCAAAAAAAAAAAAATCACTGAATCAGATCTGGACTTTACATCTCTAAGTCTTGAAAAACCATCTCACTCTGTTACCACGATGATTGCTGAATCTAGACTGAGGGATACCATCAACACTAAATTCTATTTTTATTTATTTATTTATTTGTTTTTAAAAGATTATTTATGCATAAAGGACTGGGTGCATGCCAGAGGTGTGGAGTAGGAGATGTGAGGATTCACCAGAGTGGGGAGCAGAACAGGCTGAGTCACCAAGTACACTGCTGAGGGGAGCAGCGGGTGGGTCAGGAGAGGTCTGCCGTGCCATGTGGGTCAGATCCCTGGCCAGGGATGGAACTCATGCTGCAGTGGCTGTGGAGTTTCTTAGTGTTGCGCTTTAACCTGTTGTGCCACTAGAGAGGCCCCTAAATTCTATTTTTAAATGTCTTTGCTTCTCTCCTCAGAGATTATGCATCTCACCTCCAAAATTCAGTGCAAATTCTCTATTTTTATGAGAGAATGTGGTAAAAATGTCACCAATATGTTCTACCAGTGCACCTAAAATAGTGCACACTTTTAGAAAAATAAACAATAAAATGAACAAAGGCCAAGTAATTGTGATTTACAGTCACCATTGTAAAAAGAGAAAACTTTAAGGCATTAGTATGCTAAATATCATAGTGTTTTTCGTTCATCACTCAGTGAAACTTGCAAGTTTCTAATTACAGATCAGTATGTCTGTGTTCTTTGTTGTTCCTAATCCAAAAGCTTTGTTGTTTTAAAAACTTATACTTCGATGGCAAATTCTGAATTTAGAGACAAACATGGAGGTATTTCTAAGAATAAACTGAACTTCAGAAATTTTGCTGTGGCTTTTACTAGCTATATCTTAGGTATTTTTTATCTCTTGAGAGTATAGAGCTACCAGAGATTTGGATCTATGGCAGAAGCCAACCCAAAAACATTAAAAAAACTTTTCTGTTTACCTATTTTAGTGCTTTCCCCAGGTCTCCAAGTGAGTAATATGGAGGCAAAAGAATAATTTGGAGGTTAAGACAATGTGTTAGCTGTCAGACAGTCCTAGATTCAGCTTCCAATTCTGTCACTTGCTAGCTATGTGAGTTTGGATAAATTCATCATCTATTCTAAGCTTCAATTTCTTAACATGTAATCATGACAATAATAGGACTTTCCTCATAGGATTGTTCTGAGCAACTGCCTTTAAAGAGCAGGGAAGTAAATAGGAATCCAAATGTTAGCTAGTAATAGTGTTACTAATAATCAGGCACTAAACCACAAATTTCATGAAATTTAACTGGAACTGCATGGTTAATAAACCACATAAACTCTCCAAAATAACAAAGTTTTGTTTTCATACCAGGGATTTATATATAAAGAAAGGCCCAATTACCTATGGTGCTGCTATTGATGGTGGAATTTTCCCTTTCTTCTGTCTGCAGTCCCCAAATAATTGATCTCAAGTAAGTGAACTTTTTAGAATCCTTTCCTGTTCACTTCGCTAGCTCCTATGTTGTACCATTCCTATGCAGACTGGCAAGTATCATAGCATAACAGGTGACTTAAGTTATTTTTAGGTATTTGCATCACAGGTTTAAATAAAACCTTGTTTTAAAGCAAACATCAACTCAATTCTTGGCAGACCCTTAGCTGTATAAACTGCTAACTATATAAACATCTGCCTTTAAAGGTAGCAGTTTATCTGACTCTTTTATTCCTCTTCTTGCTGACCAGTGTTACACGGAATCATTTCTATTTCCCATTCAAATCACACATACCTGTAAATAAAGGGAAGAATTAGAGCCATGGGACATCTTTTGCACCATGCCATCTTTTTGTAGGATGCATTCTTCCAAGTGAATCACATTTGGATGTTGGCTCTTGATACTGCTTAGTGCCCAGAACTCACGCAGGGCTAGTTCAACATTTTCAGGTGCATGGCATCGGATTTTCTTCACTGCCACCCGTGCAGAGGTCTTTCTGATGACTGCTTCATACACAACACCGTAACTGCCTCGGCCTACCTCCCGTATTAAATCGTACTTTGGCTGGCTACTCACCATCTTCAAGGTCAAGGTTTCTGGAAAAATCAACAAAGTGCTCTGTTGAAATTAAGTATACCTACTGGCTTGTATTTCTTCTTATGAATGATTTAGTTATCATCTGTCTCACTGTTGACAGAGCTTGAAAGATATTAGCTATACCTTGAGCAAATCTAAATAGTTTGAAAATGACGATGATAACAATGGTAATAATAAACACAATGATAATGATAATAATAATCATAAAGCAGCTAACACTTATGTAGGACTTACCAGGTATTGACTATTCCAATCACTTTTTAATATTAAATTCATTTAATCCTCATAGCAATGTAATAAGGTAGATACTATTATGGTCATCGTATACATGAGGAAATTAAAAAGCATGCAAAGGATAAGCAACATGCCCAAGGTCAAAAAACTAGTAACTGGTGGACTTGAGATTTGAAACCTGGCCATGTGCCTGTGACATCCATGATTATAACTACCACACCACCGGCCTTACACAGACTCCTCCAGAAAGTCATTGCTGATGTTAAGCCCCCATGAAAAAGCAAACAAAACCATAGCTTCTCCTTAAAACTGATACATACATAAAAGCTCATAAAAGCCAAAAACCCTCTCAGAAATATAAACACCTGGCTTATGCATAGCAACTCAAAGTGAAGCAGGTTGCATGTAACACAGAAAATGAGTAGTTTTTATTCTTTTAAAAAGTAAACAGCCAAAGTGTGTGTTCCTCTTTTCCTTGTTATGTTCTTTATTTTTTGAAATAAATGGAAATTAAGTTTGTGGAGAAAAAACGTTCCCTTAATAATAAAGCTTGGAATACAGTTACCTTTTTCTTGGGAAACAGTAACTATGTAGGTTTACTGCAATCAAATGCTGGCCTGTGCATCCAGGGACTCTGACTGATACATGTTTAAAGGCAGGTACAGAAGTCCTGCCTGGAAATGCTCCGGTGCTGACCAGGATGGTCTAAAGCCTGCCCCCCCCCCACCCATAAGCCTCAATGTTCTAACCATCCTCAGCAAGGAATCCTCACCTGCAGGTAGCCAGAAAGTGGCTGGAGTCAGTCTGGCCACAGTCCCTAGTGGGCAGTGTGGGGCATGAGAGGCCACTGTCCCTAGTGA